TCAAAATGTGTTAATTACATAAATAAAATGTAATTTTCTCTGTAGCACTTCATGAATTTCATAAGCAACACACCTTAGTTGTTCACACAAAGCATAAAGGTAGAAAACAATACATACAGTGGTATCTTGATTTTAGATGTCAAAAAGTATTTGCGGCTCCCAGTGTTTTCTTTCGCGTGGAAACCGGGTCCAAATGGCTCTTTGGGTGTTAAAGGTTGCTGATCCCTGGACTAACCGAATAATTCAGTTAGTGCCTTTGTGAGTCTTGTTTTATTCTTTATTCATTTATTATGGCCTTCTGTGCAAAAAAATCAATGTATTTTTAGTGGGATTGAAACATAAAGAAGTTATTATAGGATTTGGTATTAGGACAAATGATTGTGGATAACAACAATTATAATAGTGAGTGTTTAAATTATTAAAGCAGTTTGACAATTCGAAAAGTTTTGCCGTTTAAAATGCATGATTATTGTCGATAATACATTTTATTGATGAAACTTCAGTTTATTTTCGGGGTCATGTATTAGTCGCCTATCATTAATTTAAGAATCTGATTTACTCTGTGAATAGAAAATGTATTTCACCTCCTGCGGCCATGGTGCACCGCTACCACAAACTAACCACACAATAAAAAATGGATTCAGCTCACTTGGGCTTCAGTACCCTTTGACAGTATTAAAACTAAAAAGAGAAGCACAAATGAATAATAATAATTTTTAATCAAATACAGAGACATGCTGTCATCCAAACCCAAAGCCAGCTGCATGCAGTTAATGGGTTTTCTGATGGTAACAAACATGACTCTTTTCCCTTTTATGAAGGAATTAACTGACACAGGCGCAGAGAAGTACCTGGAGGTACAGTTATCAAGCATGCGGTGAATTTTGAATGGCGTGTCAGTGAGAATTGGAAATCATTAATGGAATAATCCTGCTGATGCTGTTGTATAATAAAACAGCGCCTGATGTTGTTCTGTACTGATTTTCCAACATCTGATTGCTCATTTTAAAGTGTTGCTGATGTTTAAAAAAAGACTTGTCAGTGTGTTTTACTGGGCGCTTGAGTTCTCCACTCCTTAACAGTTTGTGATTTCTAACAGCTGCATGACAGCCGCATTCGTTGTTGAGGATATGTTTGAGTTTGGAGGTGGAATTTATTCTCTCCTCTCTACTTTAGGAGATAAAGAAATTCATTAAGAGCGTTTCAGAAAGGATCAAGAAGACTAGAGACAAGTACGGCATCAATGATAATGGGACTAGTGAGGTAGGTGTCATGCAAGGCTTAACAAACTTCAGCCTCACAGCATTTGAATCTTAATTGGTAATTTTTCTGTCTTGTATTTACAGCCAAAGGTTCTTTATCAGCTGGATCGTGTAACTCCTACCCAGCTGGAGAAGTTTCTTGAAACCTGCAGAGACAAATACATGAGGTACAAGACTCATATCCAAGTTTGAGGCTTGTTATTTTTGTTTCTCGGCTCCATCTGTCCGTCCATCCTTCCATTATGTAACCACGGAGCCAAAAATGGTTGATCTTTGGTTTTTAATCATAAAAAATGTCCCTGTTACTACATACGCAGCCCAAAATATAGAGAACAATTGAGAGGAAATTTGTAATCAATTCTGATTGTGCTTCAAAAAGCTTTAAAGTAGTTGAAGCTGGGGAGGAATGAACAGCTCATCTATTTTAAGAAAATGAAAAGGCAATGCAACAAACACTTAGAAGTGTACTGAAAGGTTTATTGAAGGTTTGGTAAGGATGTGGAGGTGCCAGAAATATTCACTCAAAACCAAACTATAATGGTTGTACTAGAGAAAAAGTCAGAAGGCTTTATGCCATCAGAAACCGTGCAGGCTTCTGGTAATTCATCCAATACTTGTTGAGAAATTTAATCTGCACCACTGTGATGGACGGAGTGACTGGCCATCATTGTTCCTGTGACAGCACTGCGCTAAACTCTGCTGGAGCTTGAAATAGCGTGCTGTGTTAACCATGTTTTTTGTGATTTCTGTTTTTAGAATCAGCCTAGGGTTAAGATTTAGATTTATTTTTTTAAGTGGTTGACTTTGTTTCCCAAATGATCATTCATCTTTTCTGAGAGCTGTTAAAATGACATTAGTTTGAGTGCAACTCCAATTTCACTTGTCAGTTTGATGAAAGCTGATTCGGCTTAGAGACTCTGTCTTGTAATATATATATATATTTTTTTCTTTCATTTCTCGATAGAGCTCAGATGGAGCCAGGATCAGCAGTTGGGGCCCTTTGTGCCCAGAGCATTGGAGAGCCGGGTACTCAAATGACACTAAAAACCTTTCACTTTGCCGGTGTTGCATCAATGAATATCACTCTAGGAGTGCCTCGCATCAAAGAAATCATCAACGCCTCCAAGAACATCAGGTATGACATTCAATTATAGAGATGTCTCATTATATTCCCTCTGTCATTTGCGCCAAGGACAAAAAGCCAAATATACCTCACAATTCAAAGTTGGCCAGGGGCTTTGTCTTGATGTCTTTGAAACATCGCTGAAAATTACTGCTGCAAGATGGAGTAAGAACGATTTCAAGACCTCCGCCTTCCTGAATGGAAGCAATTCTTCTGTTTGACATTTACTGTCAGACGTCAGTGCTGGATTTTGCAGCTCTAAAGCTGCCTATTCCACTTTTATTGTGAGAATATATTTGATCACTTGCTTCAATCCATGGCTTACACGCAGAATTAGAGCAGTTAGCAGAGTGAGCTATGCTTGCCCATGGTGTTTTGTGTCACAGTAGTGAATACATCCCTAATTTGTTTTGAATAATCTATTGAAAATCCACTCAGTACTCCTATAATCACGGCTCATTTGGATGTGGAAGATGATGCTGACTTTGCCAGGCTGGTGAAGGGGAGAATTGAGAAGACTCTTCTAGGAGAGGTAACCTGAACCAATCAGATTTGCCCCCCTTTTATTTACAAATCAAAGCTTTGAAATCATTACTAAGGGATGTCAATTGTTTAAGTAGAGGTGTTGTTTTTTAAAAAACGAAAAGAACAAGCTGTACAGAGCTGTAATAAGGTAGGTTCTCATTTTGTCCTTTACAGATTTCTGAGTACATAGAAGAGGTTTTCCTTCCAGATGACTGTTTCATCTTGGTGAAGCTGTCACTGGAGAGAATAAGACTGCTGCGACTGGAGGTACCACAGCTTTATTACTTCTACTCCCACTTTGTGTGAACATCTCAGACACTTCCCTCTCCTTTCACACCTCTAGATTAGTTCTGAATTAGTGCACCTGGGATATTAATCTATAGTTTTAATTGTCATTTTACATAAGCTGTGATACCGTTGTGCTTGTAAAAGTAAGTATGAGGCCTGGGAACTCGGGGATAATGTTAAAACGGACTGTCCAGCGCTGCTTAGACTTCGTTGTGTCCTCATTTCTACTATTTTTAGCTTCTCAATTATATTTGAAGAAGAAATAATGTTCATTTTTATACCTTCAAGGTTGATTTCAAGATGTAATTCATCCTGCATATTTTCAGTACATGTTGGGGTTTTGGTTGAACTGCTTTAGAATAAGGGAAAATCAAAACGTATGTTTTTATACTCTCATATTTTGCTTTATGTGCAGTTACAGATAAGTCTGCATAGCTTAAACCATTGGAACACTGAATTCTTTGTTTTCTCTACCTACTAAAATATGATAACACTGCATTTCTTTAATAGTAGCAGCTACAGCACAGTGCTCTGACTCATGAGTGTCTGCAGGTTAAAGATAAGTGCTTTTTGTGCGGCGTGGATAACAAGCTGTGCCTTTGATTTCTCGTCTCTTCTCAGGTAAATGCAGAAACGGTGCGTTACTCCATCTGCATGTCTAAACTGCGAGTCAAACCGGCAGACATCGCTGTACACGGGGAGGCGGTGGTGTGCGTGTCTCCTCGAGAGAACAGCAAAAGCTCCATGTACTATGTGCTGCAGTCACTAAAGGCAGAACTTCCCAAGGTGAGAATGTCACATGTGCAATGGTTGGTTTTTTTTTTGTGCACACATGCTTTCTGTGAGCAAATTGAATTCAAGGTCAAGGCCGGTCAGGGATTCTTACCTATGGAAAATTCATGTTTAGAAAGCACAAATGCTGCACTGTGATTTCTGCCGATGTCTGAGAATACTGTATGGATGTGGAGCAGCTGAACGCTGAATGGCAAATTTGTTCCTTTGTGATACTGGGCTTTATAAATTACACTGAATTGCCTTTCATAGGTAAATTGAGCAGTAGTTTAATTGCTCTGTTCAATAAAATATTTAAGAGTGTTTTACAGTGGACCTGTTGTGCTCATTTTCACTGCTTTACTTTTATTTTTTCACTCTGGTTTAAGCACTGAGTCATGCAGCGTTACTCCATTAAAGTATATTTATTGTGTTCTTGGCCTTGGTGGAAACCTTTAGTTCATCCTCTATTTAAGAGCAAAAATCAACTTTATTTTCTCTGCCTTCCTCCTTCCCTTTGAGCTGACTTTCTTATCATTGGCTTACCCTTGTAAACAGATAGTCTGAGCAGCTTGTGGGGAAGGCTGCTGTGAAACTGATAACCATATTAAACCTTTAACATAAAGTGTATCATATTTCATATCATGTCTTGGGTTTTTGAGGCCCCTACATCATCAGTGTGATTATTTATTAACCCTAACTGTGACCGCCATTATGTTTTTGAGAAATAAATTGACCCATAAAACCAATATATGCATTTAACTTCATTGTTGATGTTGTTATTGTGTTGTTTTGTTTCTGTGTTTGTTTTTACCTGAAGGCTCAATAAACCTCTCGGTTTAAAAAAAAAAAAATATATATATATATAATTGAATTTTTTGGCCATTATTTCCATTATTGTTTTGGTAAAGATTTAACATATCACTGTGAATGTATGACAGAAAATACTTTTCAGTACATGTTCTGAACTGTTTAATGCTTAAAGTGTACTCAAAGCAGGGATAACATGGAGTCCTGTGTATTTTCTTGTCTTAACTGTTTGCACTTACTCACTTGAAAGGTGGTGGTTCAAGGGATACCGGAGGTTGCCCGAGCTGTCATTCATATTGACGAACAGAGCAGCAAGAGTAAGTACAAACTCCTGGTGGAGGGGGACAACCTGAGAGCGGTTATGGCAACACATGGCGTGAACGGAAGTAGGACCACTTCAAACAATACTTATGAGGTATGAGTCTTTTTTCCCCCCAGTGTCAAATGATTGTACATCATACATTTTTATTGATATAAAAAAAGAACGGGGTGCAGAAGTTTTATGGTGAATTTTCTTTTATGCACACAGGAGGCTCAAAAGTATACATACAGGCTCAAATATATACACAGGCTTGTAAAATGGACCGATTCTTATATAGCGCTTTTCTACTCTCCTGGAGTACTCAAAGCGCTCTATACAACATGCCTCATTCACACCAACTCATACAAACACTTCTAAACTTCTAAAGTGCAAACTAATGAACATGAACACATCAGAGGGCAACTTGGGGTTAGTATCTTGCCCAAGGATATTTGTCATTTCCCAGACTGGGAAAGCCAAGGATCGAACCGCCAACCTTCCAATCAGTAGCTGATCTGCTCTACTATCTGAGCCGATGGTAGAGCCACCTTATACAATATAGGGGCTTGTGTATATATAACCTTTGCAATTTGCTAAAAGTTATTTTACCAAAAAACCTTTGGTAAAATAACGTTTAGCAAATTGCATCTTGACCACAATTTTGGCTGAATATCTGCCTACTCTTGGGAGAATTGGTAGAGTTGATTGAAATTGGTTGGTTTTCTGCACAGACCCTACGTTTAAGCACAGTTTAGAAATCACAGACCCAGCCATTATGCCACCAGGGTTAGCTGCCACCTGTCAGCTGTTACAGCGCTCTTTGATTTTCTTGTTGTTGGAATGGTTAAATGCTCAGAAATGGGTGTTTGTGTGCCCAATTCCTTTTGTTTTTAAAGTTATTAAAGATGTGTCTTGAACACTTATTTATCCTGGAAAAATAGCAAGTGAAAAAAATTATTAGAAGCCTAAAATTACCAGGCTATTCATTCCCATGATGAGAGTAGGATCACTCTGAAAATCCAAGCTGAAGATTTAAAAACAAAGAAAAGCTTTAACTGCAAAACTGAAGCATTTTGGCTGTCATTGATGGGCAAAAACATTTGCAGTTTTTCATTCACTTTGAATTAAATTGTCATCATATTTGTATCTAATATTGTCCCTAAGTGTTATCTTTTGGTTAGAAATGAGTAGAAATATGTGTTAGAGGCTCATCAAGTTTTCTTGTTATATGATACAAGTTAAATAAATAAATAAATTAATTATTTAAGATAAGCAAAGCTAGTTTAAAAGTGTTTCAGCCTAGATCAGCTCTCACTACTTTGCATTAATGCTTTTATCTAACGACACAAAGCCTGGTCCATGACACACAGGCTGTGAGACAAAAGGACTCTGAGAGCTGGAAGTTGTTGCTGCTGCTACACTCAGTATTCAGCTGTCCTTGTAGGCTGGCAGTGTTTGATATCTCCATCACTCAAATGGAGCGCTAAGTTTTCTAATACATCCACTCTTGTGCGTTTAAAATAAATAAATGAATTTCTTTGATGAACCTGTTGGCTCAAAGTGCATGAAGTAACGGACACATTTTAAAATGTCAACTGTAAAAAAAAAAAAAAAGAAAGAAGGAAAACAATCGCATAAATTATGCCAGCTGAAGGAACTGAGAACACTTTCAATTGGCTGTGGGGAGTCTGCACCAGGGCTTTTTAAAATGTGTTTGTTTTTTAAACAAACTTTTCTGTGCACTTGATAGGTCGAGAAGACCTTGGGCATTGAGGCTGCTAGATCCACAATCATAAACGAGATTCAGTACACCATGGTGAACCACGGAATGAGCATTGACCGACGTCACGTCATGCTTCTTGCAGATCTCATGTCCTATAAGGTAAGAACCGCTGATCTACATACATTACATGAATTAATATCCTTTCATCTCCTTGTAGGGGAACTAATGTAACCATCTTCTATCCTTAAAGGGTGAGATCCTGGGAATCACCAGGTTTGGTTTAGCAAAAATGAAGGAGAGTGTCCTCATGCTGGCTTCTTTTGAGAAGACAGCCGATCATCTTTTTGATGCTGCCTATTTTGGACAAAAGGACTCAGTTTGTGGTAAACTGCTGTTTCATCTGCATAATGAAATTGATCTTCGTGGCTTGACTGGCCTGTTAACATCCCCCCTGTGTTCCTGTTTCAGGTGTGTCTGAGTGTATCATCATGGGGATTCCAATGAATATTGGAACAGGACTATTTAAACTGCTTCACAAGGCTGACAGAGATCCCTCTCCAGTCAAAAGGCCTCTCCTCTTTGACAGTCCAGACTTCCATTTACCTTTGATCACATAGCATCAAATGACAAAACAGCAGGGATGTTTCAAGGTTGTTGTTTTTTTTCATAGCTGACAAATATTATCTTCAACTAGTACATAAGTGCCTGCCAATGTGTCACATCATTTTCTGTTTGGGGATTTAACAGAAAATGGGATTGCGTATTTTTGTTGGTTGATAAACTGTGAGAAGACTGAATTTCATTTTAAAAAGCTAGCAGCGCTCCAGATAGAATTACTTATTTAAGTTAAATTTTGGGTAACAGCAAAAAAAAAAAGCAAACATTTAAACTTTAAAGTCATAATCTTGTGTTACTGCACTGATCACACTGTGAAAAACATTGTTATAAACAGGTGTCTTGCTAACATGAGAAAGATTACCTCTTAATTATGAAACAGAATGGATTTCTTCTGTGCTGGTACTTAGTTTTGCATAATGTGTGAACTGCTTGCATCTTAGCGTTGCAGCTTCTCCCACATGGCAAAGCTCATATTTGGTTGTTTGACATTTTTATTGGGTTTATTTTTTCTTCAACATTCAGTTCAAGAGAAGTTCAGTTTGTTCATCTTTTTACATCTTGTAAGAAACCTGTTCTTATAATAATGTAAATAATGTAATAAATAAATTACTCAAAGCCATGTTCTTTGGTATTTACAGTGATTTCTACAGCAGTGTTTTAGGGTCATACCATCCAATTTAGTGTGCTATTTTTTTATTTGAGTAGCATCAATTTACAACTGTGTCTTTTTAGAGTCCTTATTAGTATTTTCTCATTGTATCTAGTGCAGAGTCCAGCCATCCAGTGGAAGCATTATATATGAGGAGAGGTAAAAAGAAGTTCCACTTTGCACCATTCACACTTAAAGCTATAGCCCACTGAGACTCACCAGATAACCTAACGCATACAGTCACCTGCTGAACAAGTGAGGTAAATTGGCACCTCCTTATTAGTTTACCTTTAACTGATTAATTCACTCAAGCTGCTCTGATGGCAGCTGTAGCTTGGCTGATCCCCAGTTTCTTTCATTTGAATGTCTGTTACTTGAAGTAGCTGCAAATAAGCACTCATATGACTATAACCTAAAAGCTCATGGTTAAAAAACTTTTAAATGGCCTCCTTATATTTCTAAATTAAGAATTTGAATGCAGTTGCATTCGCTGAAACTAATGTGTAATGGCTAATGAGTTATCTTTGTGCTTTTCCCCATGTAGTTAAATTTGTTTTTCAAGGAAAAGCCTCGAATTTTACTCATGTTGTTGGTAGAAAGAGGTTTGACATCAAATATAGAGATGTTCAGATCAAAGTTCAGTCCAATACACCGGTAAGTACTTGTGTGCTCAGTAGTTAAAAGAAGCATTCCTACCTCTGTGCTATTAGGAAATAAAAGGCTTTTGGAGTGCTATAATGGAAAATACAGTAATATGGTCAAAATGCTTTTTGGGGCCCAGCTGGCTTGTTTTATCCTTTTAACTTGTCATTGGTTGTGGCAGCCTTTGCCAGTGAAAGTTCTTTTAATCTGAATGCAACAACCAAAGGTTTGTGTTTAACCTTTTTCTTGCCCGTAACAGTGTATGCCAGTCACATTCTCCGATTCATTGGAAGCCCAGCTGTGAACTTCAGAAGATCCCTGGAGCTTGCAGGCGAAATCTTTATCGTTTTATCTCCGATGACCAATTACACCCCCTCTCCCCTCCCCTGCTGTGACTTTGGGTTAACACTGGAATCCTTAATGGCTTCCATGAATAGAATAATTGAGAACTAATAATAACAGAATTTATTGTCTATATGGGGTAAATATTTGATATTTAAAAGACTAATTTTAGGTGGCATATTCTTTTTGACTCTTCAAATATAACTAAGCACTTGCGTATTTCATATTGCTGCAAGGCATCTGTTAGTTTGCTTAGCATTACAGGTGCTACAGCAAGATATCAGGTTGAGCTGAATTCTGATGAGTCCCATTAATAACCTCTTTCAGAAATGTTTGCCCCTCTGCGTGTGTCCTTAAGCACATAAGTACTCTGGAAGAGAAATTCTGTTCTTCTGAGTAGAAGGGGAAGAAAAAACTGAAACATCACAATAAGGTCTCACTGTTCATATTCTTTTGCTTACATATTCACAGTAACACAATTCCTTGCATTTTTTATCATTGCGTTTCTTTGTATTGAGATCACAAGTAGGTGTTTCCTTTCTTCAAGCAACAGGTGAAAACAAAGTAGTTACACTTTGATACCCAGCCTGTTCTCTCCAGTATTATTCACACTGTCTAAATTTAGCACTGAAAAGGGGACTTAAGCATAAAACTTAATACACTGCTATGAAAATTACTTATTTTGCTTCTAAATCTATGTATAAGCTTTTCTATCTATCTAAGCTGTTTATAATTAAGTGCCTGAAGATGCAATTTAAAATGTTTTTTTTTTGTTTGTTTGTTTTTTTTGCTAAGTTGTCTGCTGTGTGTAATTATAACCATGGTTCATGCCTTGACTATGAAGCCTTATTTATGCTTGAATGATTCATAGGTAAGTGTTAACTGGTTCTACAAGCAATAAACATTCCTCCAGAAATATTTAGCTTCATGGACTGGACTATAAAAGAGTCAAAAGGGAGCCAGTGTCCTGATACGTC